AGGGAGAAAGCATATACATACATACATACATACACACACATACATACACATACATACACATACATACATAAATCTACAATAAGGATACATAAGTAATATTAATATTAAGAACTAGAAGAAACAGGGGGAGGAAATGGGGAATTACTGAAAGAAAACTATAGAGAGGCTGATTATTAGAACTGAGATATTTATTTACATAAGATAACAGTGTGATATATAATTCTGTGATATAATAGTTAAGGATTAAAAATAGAATAATATATAGGATAGTCTAGATATTGAAACGTGATATTAAAAATGGTTAATTATTGTTAGATATTGAGATATATAACCACTGATATGTGTGATAAAGTAGAACTAAAGTAGAACTTGTATGCAACTGTGGGCGAGGATAAACAGAGGGATAAAGATGGCAAGTAGTACTACTTTAACAAAGACAGGGAAAAAAACAATATCCAACTCTGCATCAGCAGCATCCTCACCCTCAAACCAAAGGTCTATTGAGAGTGCATTGGGGCTGGAGAAAGGCAGATCGACGGCAGGAATAGCGGGATCAGCACACACAATGTAAAGTATGCAATTGATGCTCCAGATGATACAAGAGACAATGACGAAAACCTAAGAAGCAATAGCTACAAATCACGAAGAGACGAGGAGGAACCATGAGGAAATTAAAAACAAAATAGAGAATTGAAAGGAGATATCAAAAACATGGATGACAAAATTGAAAAGATACAAAACACCATAACAATCAACGAACAGAAAATCCAGAACATTGAAACAAAAATAGAACATACAGATCAGAGGATGGAAAGAATGGATTTGAAATATTCACAAGTTAATAAAGAGTTAGAAGAATCAATAATCTTCCTTGAAATGGAAAGAGCTTCATGTTATCTTATATTCCAAAACATAGTTGAAGAAAAAGAGGAAAACCTGAAAGGAAAAATGACCAAAAAAGTTTGCTGAAATTTTACAGAGAGAGGAACAAGAGATGAGAGGAGACATTGATGTGGTTTACTGTATATACACCAATTATGCCAGAAGACATAGACTACCAAAAAAAGTACATGTAAGATTTGCCAAAAGAACAACTAGAGATGAAGTGTACAAAAAAAACAAAAACAAAAAAACAGAGAAGGGACAATAACATACAGGGGAAAAGAGTTGATTATTCTTAAACAGATACCACAGAGAGTCAGGGAATAATGTAGACAGTACCAATTTTTAACTAACCAGTTAAATAAAAACAGAATAATGTATAGATGGTTGGTACCAGAAGGGATATTGGTCTCTTGACAGGGTAAAAGACATCAAATAGATAACATAGAAAAAGCGCAAGAATTCTATGAAAAATACTTCATAAGGGAAGAAGAACAAGGAAGTAAAGAGAACTTTACTTCCTTGTAGAAGTCAAGAAGAAGAAGCAGAAGATAAGGAAAGAAACAGGGAAGAAGAACAAGGAAGTAAAGAGAACTTTACTTCCTTGTAGAAGTCAAGAAGAAGAAGCAGAAGATAAGGAAAGAAACAGGGAAGAAGAACAAGGAAGTAAAGAGAACTTTACTTCCTTG